GCCAGACGGACATGCAGACAAACGGACGGACATCGCTAGATCAACTCCAAATGTCCTCAAATGGAGTTGGTCCTAAGTGACCTATAGTCTAACACAGTTATTTCGATGAGGCACATTTTGGCCGTATCAAATGATGTATATCCTTTCTAGCCATATGTCTGAGGGCATAAAATATATGTTATCCTACCAAGGCAAGTATTGCCTACTTTTTAGCCAAATTACTCAAAATGTAACAAATCTTGGGCACAGATTTGCCAGGTTTTACCGAAAAAATTAGAAACACTCGCGAACGAAAGAGTTCAACGAGTGAAAGTCTTACAAAGAGATTACGCTCTACTGTTTTATTTTATATTGGAGCGCTCGTGATTTCTCCTGCAGGAACATTAAGAGCGGGAGTCAAATTGTTCGAAATAGGTTCAAGGTTATTCTAGGAGTAAAATGAAATGAATCAAAAGCAACTCCTCCTCACCTAATTTTTTAAATTTCACCCGAAAATAGGGAATTTTATGGCGATCAGAAAAGGATACGTTTCAATATAGCACCCCCATAAATAAGTGTATATTGGAGGGCTATATCGAAACTTGATCCGATCTTGACAAGTTTTTGTGGATCATGAACTCATAATTTTTTTTCTTGTCATTCAGACCATTATAATGGCCTTTATAACAATTTCCATCCCTGGCCCCATACAAATTACTATGGAAAAATATATCACTCGGGGGCCAATTGCTAACGTTACCCGACCCCCATAAAATTTCATATTTAAAGTATATATGGTTTGACTCATTCAAAGATACCATATATTAAAACCTTATATTAATCCTCAAACCTAAAATATCTTTCCCTCAGTGTACCACTGTCCACCACTGGCCAACCATGCCAGACCACCAGACCACAAAATGAAAACAATAATGGTCGAGCATTATTCATGTGATGACGTAAATTCCTTTGCCATGTTGCTCCATACTTCATGCTGGAATCCTTTACCCACATTTTTCTTCTCTTTCCGAGAATTTATTTTTACATACCCTGAGTTTATCTTCCGGCATTCCTTTGTGGTGTTTAGTTATTTTTTTTTCTTCTGCTCCGTTTCTATTTGATTCTTTCTTTACCTAGCTAGGCATTGACTGCCTGCCTGCATTAAAATCCCAACAAAGTGTCAATCTGAATGGATGTTTGCACATCACATCATTCCTTAACACTCCCAGGAGAGATTTTATCTGGAAGTGAAGCAAAAACGGATAAAAGGCTAGAGGAGAAAAATCACAAGCAAAGGGTATTTGTGTCGAATCTGGCCATTCAACAATTCCAGGATTGCAACATCTCGCCCATGGTCCATGACCGGGCTGGCTGTATAAATTTGTTTTTGAATTGTCGCAGAGAGGGGGGATAAAAATAGAATCGGACACATTGTAAAGGTTTTGGCATTCGTCAACTTTGTAGCCTTGCTGGCAGGCAGATTAACCACAATCATAGAATTTTTTCAAAAGAAACTGAAGACAATGAATTCGAAATCAATACTGGGAATTTATTGAATTTTGAAATTTAGGCTTAAATTGATTATTAGTATTGAGATAGTAATCAAATTTGTATAATACAGTTGTGAGTACAGTTGATTTTTATTATTTTACTTGAACATTTGCGGGATAAATATTTAAGAAAATATTAGGAAAATACATGACCGATTTTTCGAATGGAGGTTCTGTTTATTTTTTTTTTTTTTTTTTTTTTTTTTTTGGCGAGTGTAAATACATTTAGAATCTACATACTGCTATTCGACCCTCATTAAACCACACTATTTTTAACCGTTAACATTTAAATTTAAAATAGCCAACTCATATAAAATAAGACCTTGTAATAATGCCAACATTTGGAATAAAGGACTAATTCTTGAATTCAACCGAAGCTCCTCATATTTTTATATCCTGAACCACACTGTGGTCAGGGTATTATGTCTTTTTACATTAGTTTTTTATAACATGGAGAAGGAAGCCAGAAAGACCCATAGTCCTTTTTAATGAACTGCATAGGACGACATTCTGAGTCAATATATGCATGTCCGTCCATCCACGTATTTATGAATTTTGCAAATATTATTTGTTTGGTCCAAGAGAGAACCCTATTGAAATTACCGAAAATGGGTCACAATTTAAGTATAGCTTGCACATACAGGGTGAGATGAAAAAACTGCAACCAACTTCAGACTGCTGTCATTTCTAAGCCAATCGTCCGACAGCTGTTAAAATTATTCCAGTGATAGCTCATTGTATTGTTTAAAAGCATACAAAAGCATATTTTTGAGACTTTTCCAGAAAAAATTTTATTCGTGATGGAATTCAAGCGTGATAGTGTGATTTCTTTATATTTGGCTGCAAAACCACGAATGGCTATCGTTAGAGCACTCCAGCATTTAAATGTGAATAAATCTTTTGTGGCTCGTACCGTGATACTGGTAGCGTAGCACGACATCAAGGGAGAGGGCGGAAGAAAACAAGTAAAAGTAAAGAAGCGATTTGATTTAAACCCGCGCCTCTGTGCCCGAAAAATGGCTCGTGAGCTGAACATATCGCAATATTCCATTCGACAAATATTGAAAAATGAGCTCGGGGTATAGCCATTGAAATTCCAAAAAGTGCAAGAACTTACACCGCAACAGAAAGAAAATAGACTCAAAAGAGCTAAATAGTTGTTGGTTTTGGTTTTCTCCGTTCCGATGAGAAAACATTCATTGTCCAGCGGTTTGCAAATAAACAAAATTATCGTGTACTTGCCAAAGAGGTCAGTTGAAAATGTGCACCTTCGGCTGACCACCAGAACTCAAGCGCCGGTCATGATGATGGTGTGGGTCGCCATAATAGCCGATGGTCGCTCTCCGCTCGTATTAATCGGCCGTGGAATCAGCATAAATGCCGAATATTATAGCGAAAATATTCTGGAAGGTATATTACAGCCTTGGGCACGCAGATATTTTGGCCGCAGACTTTGGACATTCCAACAAGACTCAGCACAGTCGCACTCAGCACGTGCCACCCAAGAATGGCTACAAAATGCGGTTCCTCGCTTCATTTCGAGCGCACAATGGCCGCCAAAATCTCCGGATACCAATCCGTTGGACTATTGTGTCTGGAGTATTTTGGAAAGCAAGGCTGCGGTATTTTCGTCTATGTCCAGCGAAGCGCTTGCTTAAAGTGATCGACACTTTGGTATTTTTTAGTGCCAACCTTGTTTTCCAAAATACTCCAGACATAATAGTCCGTCCGTCTGTGGAAATCACTCCAGCTTCCGAACGAATTGAAGCAGATTGATAACATTTTACTCAAATATATATTATATCTGCAGGACTTTTGGTATTGAAAATGGGTCATGTGGGTCCACGTTGTGGTACAGCCCCCATATAACGGTACCTCGCGATAATCGGTATTTTGATGATTTTAGCGACAATATCCATCAGAATTCTTTCAAACATGGTATTTGATGTTCGTAATGGGTGCTACAGCCTATGAAAGGAGATTGTCTGTGCAGGTCCACATCTTGATATAGCTCTCATATAACGGTATATCCCGATATTCGGTATTTTGATGATTTTAGCGGCATTATACACCAGAATCGTTTCAAGTTTGGTATTTGATGTTCGTAATGGACGTACAGGCTAAGACAAAAAATAGTCTGTGCAGGTCCACGTCTTCGTATGTCCCCCGTATAACATTTCGTCCCGATATTCGGTATTTTCTTGATTTTAGCGACATTATTCACCGGAATTGTTTTAAATTTGGTATTTGAAGTTCATAATGTATACTACAGTGTAAGACAGAAAATTGTCTGTGCAGGTCTACGTTTTCGTAGAGTCCCCATATAACGGTACCACCCGATATTCGGTATTTTGATGATTATTTACCGGAACTATTTCAAATTTGGTATTTGAATTTCATAATGAATACTAAAGCCTATGACAGAAAATTGTCAGTGCAGGTCCACGTTTTATAACCTCCATGGTAGCTCCTTATATTCGGTATTTTGATGATTTTAGCTACATTATAAACAGATTTTTTTTCTTTCAAGTTTCGCATTTGAATATTGTAATAGCTTGTGACAAAAGTTTCCTATGCAGGTCCACGTCGTCGTATAGACCCTAATATACGGCTACATTCGGTATTTTTAAGATTTTAACAGAATTTTTTATCGATTTTATTTTTTTAAAAATTGTTAAATTTTTACCAAATGGTGGGTATTCAAAGTTCCGCCTGGCCGAACTTACAGCTTTTTTATTTTTCAAGTTCCTTCAAAATGGTGTAGGGTATAAAAGGTTCAGCCCGGCCGAACTTAGCTGCCTTTTATTTATTTACTTTTTGTGAATTAATCCTAACATTGATGCCAAATATTGTAACTCATAGCAGATATTAGTTCCACATGTTTTTCCTAGAAATGAACCATTAATGAAAACGGACAACATTTTTTTTCAAACTAATACAACTACTTGTACCTAGATTCATGTCGAACATCATACCTCAGGTTGTATGAAACAAATATTTAATGAAAATCATTTCCTTGTTACAAAACATGTAATAGACTTCGGGGAAACCATCATGTTTTTCATTTGACGCCCTTGTTCTCTTTTTTAAAAATGAGATAACAAGCCATAATATTCTGCAAAAACGACAGGACAATATACGTTAATGTAATTAATGATGTTATTATTTATGTTTTATATGTATCTCTCTACCACATGGAACCACAACAACCATAAATTCATAAAAAAATGTATAAAACCCCATTCATGCAGATTTGTATCATCAGGGCTATGGACTTTTTAACTCACGTCCGAAACGTATAAACAAAAAGCAAAAAAAAACATAAAATCTCCCAACAAAAACAACAACGTTATTGTTATCATTGTTCCCCACGCGTTCGTACGTTCATTCGTTCGTTAGTTCACTGCATCCCTGTTCTCTGTTCACACACACACACGGATTATCACTTAACGAGCATCTTAATTAACTCACCTGCAGCATGGGCAAGAAAAAACACAAAAACTGTCCAAATATCCAGTTCTGTATCAACATCACCATCAGCGATATGGGCAGGACGATGGCGCACTGGACAAAATGGCACGATGCCAAATTGATAATAAACGCCTGGGTTTCGTCCCGATAGAGTTTGTGATAGACAATGTACGCTATAATTGCCACATTCATTACGATGCCCAGCATGGCCAGTATGGCGTACTGGATCAGAAATATCCAATAGAAATTCTCGATGCTGGCCTTCAGGATGGGCCCATTAAAGCGATCCATGGCATCGGTGTCGTTAATACGGCCATCCAAGAAATGGGCAATAATTATTAAATATTTGTCGGGGACATCTTTCCACTTCGACTCGACATCGGCAATGTCCATCTTCTGTTTGCCGGTGCTGGCCGCCACGTGATAGTCAAAGGATTCGTTGTCAGCCATGATGCCGGATGATGTGTGGCCCAGCGGCGATGTTTGATGTTGTTGCTGTTGGTCGAGCAGGGCAGGTGTCATGTTGTTAGCGCAGGCAGAATGGTCGTGGCTGTCGTCGTTTTGGTGGCAACGAAATTGTTACTCTGCAAAAAGAGAAGAAAAAGAGAGAGTGAGAGAGAGATGAGTGAGTGGGGGAGCGAAAGAGAAAACGAAAATTGTAATAACCTGTGATTGAAGTACAGCAGAGCAATTAAATTTAATTAATGTTGTAATCAGACCTCTGGCAAAAACCAAAACGTGAGGCAATCAAATGGAACAATCCAGCGATGATTTACAATGGCAGAGATATGGATAATTGGGAGAGGGTAGGAGGTAATTAATTTGAAAATAATTTTTTAATTTAAACGTTTCTATGGAATCATAAATGAGACATTATTACTTCTTATTATATCTTGAGGCTGTCGAAAGAAGTGGTGGGAAAGGGTGGAATTGGGTTCCAAAGGAGTAACAATTGTTTTCTTATTAAATTTTTTTCATTTTTGATTTTCACAAAAAATTTAATTGCCAAATAAAAATTCCTACAAAATTTGTTTTATTACCAATTGTGCTCGAAATTGCTTTTAAAGCATCTTTTGCGGGATGCGTGCCAAAGACATTCTTTATTTTTCTTCATAATTTATTAGCAGATAAGTAAATTAAATATGATTTATGGAAAATGTTTATGGTAAAAATATGTTGGGATTCCTTTTGGATGAGCTATTTAACATTTTTTGCATATAATACCCAGCAAAGGCTTTTAAGACTAGTAAGAGGTAACCTCTATGTTAAAACCAGTCAGGAAGAGTAAGAAGGAGCCTCCCTCGAGAATATATATACATAAGTGGAAGTATATTGATGTAGACGATACCAAGAAGGGAGTCTCGGAGGAAGTGTCTCCTAAGTAAGACTCTTTAGATGAATCAAGGGAATCATTTTTAGTGAACTCGCATCGAAGAAAGTCCTTATAATGTGTCAGAGAAAGCCTCTTCAGAAAAGTCGAAAAGAGCCTCTATAGAGAAGTCAGAGAGAGAGAGAGAGAGTCTTTACGGACAAGTATTAGAAAGTCTTCACATATGAATAGGACAGAGTCTATACAGACGAGTGAGAGAGAGAGAGAGAGAGAGTGTTTACAGATAAGACGGTGAATGTTCTAATAGATACGTTGGAGAGTCTCCATATGGACGAATCGAAATCGAATTATAAGTTTGTATAGACGAGTCAGAGAATATCAATAGTCTCTCTTGGCCAGTCGCATACACAAACGGGAGAATGTCCATATATACGAGCGGAAATTTCTATCAATATTTGAGCGGAAGGACCTCTCAGTCGGTTTTTCGAGACGAGTTGAGATCAGGTTGTCAATTTAGACATTTTGAGGTCAGCTTCACCGACAGGGAGTCTCCATAGACGACCTGAGGTTCGGTCCTGACGAGTTGACGAACGAGCTGATTTCAGGTCGTCTATAGAAACAGCCTTTATGGACGTCGAAGGCGAGCGCAGGCAGTCTCTATAAACGAGCTGAAGAGAAATCTCGATAGACAATCTGCAGGACAAGGGAGTCTCAATAGACGAGCTGAAGGCCAAGGGAGTCTCTATAAACAAGCTGAAGGCCGAGGGAGGCTCTATAGACGAGGTGAAGGCCGAGGGAGTCTCAATAGAGGAGCTAAAGGACGAGATTCTAAATAGAAGAGTTTAAGGGTCAGGGAGTCTCAACAGAAGAGCTGCAGGGGTAGGGAGTCTCCGTAGACGAGCTGAAAGCCGAGGGAGTCTCCAAAGACGAGCTGAATGGCAGGGAGTCTCCATAAACGAGCTGAAGCTCTGGGGGTCTCAATACACGAGTGAGAGAGAGAGAGAGAGTGTTTACAGATAAGACGGTGAATGTTCTAATAGATACGTTGGAGAGTCTCCATATGGACGAATCGAAATCGAATTATAAGTTTGTATAGACGAGTCAGAGAATATCAATAGTCTCTCTTGGCCAGTCGCATACACAAACGGGAGAATGTCCATATATACGAGCGGAAATTTCTATCAATATTTGAGCGGAAGGACCTCTCAGTCGGTTTTTCGAGACGAGTTGAGATCAGGTTGTCAATTTAGACATTTTGAGGTCAGCTTCACCGACAGGGAGTCTCCATAGACGACCTGAGGTTCGGTCCTGACGAGTTGACGAACGAGCTGATTTCAGGTCATCTATAGAAACAGCCTTTATGGACGTCGAAGGCGAGCGCAGGCAGTCTCTATAAACGAGCTGAAGAGAAATCTCGATAGACAATCTGCAGGACAAGGGAGTCTCAATAGACGAGCTGAAGGCCAAGGGAGTCTCTATAAACAAGCTGAAGGCCGAGGGAGGCTCTATAGACGAGGTGAAGGCCGAGGGAGTCTCAATAGAGGAGCTAAAGGACGAGATTCTAAATAGAAGAGTTTAAGGGTCAGGGAGTCTCAACAGAAGAGCTGCAGGGGTAGGGAGTCTCCGTAGACGAGCTGAAAGCCGAGGGAGTCTCCAAAGACGAGCTGAATGGCAGGGAGTCTCCATAAACGAGCTGAAGCTCTGGGGGTCTCAATACACGGGCTGATACGGTCAGATCGTCTTTATAGACGAGCTCATAGTCAATCGCCTTAATAGACGAGCTGATATTTAGATCGTCTTAAAAGACGAGCTGATGGCCAGATCCTCTCCTTTAGACGAGCTGAAGGTCAGATCGTCTAGTTTAGAGGAGCTGAAGGTCAGATCGTCTACTTTAGGCAAGCAAAGGGTCAGATCGTCTGCAGGAACGAGCTAAGGTCAGATCGTCTGCAGCTGAGGCCAGATCGTCTCTATGGACGAGCTGAGGTCAGATCGTCTCTATGGATAAGTTAAGGTCAAATTATCTCTATGAACGAGATGGGGTCAAATCGTTAGACGAGCTGAAGGTCAGATCGTTTCTATGGACGTTAGATCGTCTCTATGGACAAGCTGAGGTCAGATCGTCTCTATGGATAAACTGAGTTCAGATCGTCTCTATGGACAAGCTGAGGTCAGGTCGTCTCTATGGACGAGCTGAGGTCAGATCGTCTCTATGGACGACCTAAGGTCAGATCGATAGGAGTCCATTAAGATAAGTCGGAGGAAGATTTTATAAAAGTCAGAAGACCACAAGGTTTTCTCATAGAAGGCCAGAAGGTATTTTCATAGAAGACCAGAAAGTCTTATATAAGGCCAGAAAGTCTTCTTTTGAAAGGCCAGAAGGTCTTCTTTTGGAAGGCCAGAGGGTCTTCTTTTGGAAGGCCAGAAGGTCTTCTTTTGGAAGGCCAGAAGGTCTTCTTTTGGAAGGCCAGAAGATCTTCTCATATAACGAGTCAGAGAGAGCCAGAAGGTCTTCTCATATAAGGCCTGAATGTCTTCTTTTGGAAGGCCAGAAGGTCTTCTCATAGAATTCCAGAAGGTCTTATTATAGAAGACCAGAAGGTCTTATTATAGAAGGCCAGAGAGTCTTCTCATAGAAGGCCAGAAGGTCTTCTCATAGAAGACCGGAAGGTCTTCTCATAGAAGACCAGAAGGTCTTCTCATAGAAGACCAGAAGATCTTCTCATAGAAGACCAGAAGGTCTTCTCATAGAAGACCAGAAGGTCTTCTCATAGAAGGTCAGAAGTTCTTATTATAGAAGGCCCGAAGGTCTTCTCAGAAGGCCTTTTTGTAGAAGGCCAGAAGGTCTTTTCATAGAAGGCCAGAAGATCATTTCATAGAAGGCCAGAAGGTCTTCTCATAGAAGACCAGAAGGTCATTTTCATAGAAGGCCAGAAGGTCTTTTCATAGATGGCCTTTTTGTAGAAGGCCCGAAGGTCTTTAGATAAGTCGAAGAAATATTTTATAAAAGAGCTAAAGACAATCTCTATAGGTTGGTCTGTCGATAAGTTTGAGAATGTCATCATAGACGAGCAGAAGAGAGTTGTTTGAGAGTCAAATAGAGGGGATCATTGACAAACATCTTGAAGTCCTATACCCGTTAGGTTCTGAAATACCGTTCAAAGTAACATTCGCCAATTTAAGTTAATAAAATAAATTTCACATCAACTTGCATTCCCTTCAGCTATGGTCTTTAAAAAGCCCCCACATTCGGAAAGCACAGCTATTTCGGGCTACATTAAAATCTGGAACACATATAAAGTGCGGAATTGTGTTAAACACTTTGCATGTAAATTGGAACGCACGGGTCTTAAGGTGGGATCTTCATGGAATATGGAATCTGTTTTTGTAATTTTTAGCTGGTGCGTTTTTATCCCCTTTTAAAAATCTTAATCGCAAAATTTTAATTTAGTGGAAAATTGTAGGTGAAGCTTTCAAAGTACTTTATTGAGGTCGTATGGTTTTTTGGGGGCCAGACTAAATTTCAAGGGGAGATTAAATGTTCAATGAAAACCAGAAATAATAAATTAAAACTGACTTATTTGAATTTTGTTAATAAAACCATTGAATACACAAAAATGGCGCCCAAATGATTTACTAAAATATTTTTAATCGAATTCTTAGCGACTGAGATATAATTTTTAATTTATTCTCTTTCCTGTGGCCCTAAAAATATTTTTCCCAAAATCGTATGCTCGGCACACCCTATTACACCAACATATTATATATGAGCGTTTCTTGTAAACATTTGTACATATACAAATGAATGTGAGTGTATGTCAAAAAATAAAATACAATTTGTTAACATTGTGGTTAAATGTTGACATAGACAAAACGACAAAGAATATTTTAAAATGCTAATAAAAAACCATGATGGAATAAAAAAATAAAAAAAAAATCTAAAATAAACAGGAAAAGAACCACAAGAAAAAAACACCACGGGAACTGGAATGGAACGAAATGTTACAGAGAGAGAGGAATATGCAGTGGAAACATGTCAGCACCTTCTAAGGGCTCAAAGGCGCACTCATAAACATACACACACAGAGAACAGCATTGGTAATGGTGACGATAACGACAATGATTGTTTGGAAGCCACTGATGGCAACGATGGCGATGACGATGGCGATGATGATGGTGATGTTGATGCCACACTTGATGATACGTTTATGACTTGCATGCATGACGTCCAACACAAACATACACCACCACCATTAT